AAATGGCCACGTATCCTGTTCGTACCCCGAGGCGGAGTTCGCAAACCGAAGCAAAATTTTGTAGGCGGAGCTGATCGTAACCCGAAAAGTTCGTTAACAGAAGCATTCATAACCCGAGGTTCCACTGTATCTGGTTCTAATCAAGACACTATGGGGTGATATTTTTTGCTAAGACTTTGCCATTAATTAAGAGTTAAGGCAAGCAAATGTCAAAGAAGGTTTTATTATTAAGAAAGAGAAGCTGTCCACATTAACATGATAGTAGTAGTAAATCAGAAGCTTCTGGGAAAGGCATCTGGAAACTCTGAAAAACTTTCCTTGCAGGTGAGCCACGTCAGTAAACAGAGAACCATATTCCCAAGGAAGACATTAGAAACAACACAACATACCTCCCCTACAATTTCCCCATTTCCAGGAGATGAGGGGGGGCAAGCCCCAAAAGCATTATTTTTGCTGATGGGACCAAGCGTCTGGAATGTCCTCCCACTGAAGATTCATCTGTCTCCAACATTGTCCACTTTCTGGAAAAAGTTAGACCTTTTCCAGAAGGCTTTTGGATCCTGATATGCTCCGTTTGGGCTTTTTTTTTCTTATCTCTTCTTTTGGGGGGGGGGGTATATTCTTACTTTGTGAGCCACCAAGAGTCTTGTGATTGGGATATAAATTTGATTAATAAATACATAAAAGAAACAAATCAAAGATGCATATCCAAAATATGAGCATGACATGCCTAAAAGAAGGTCCTCCATGAAGCTGAGAGCTGTAATTCAGTGGCTTAGAGAAAAGCCCCATGGAGTGTGGGAGCTAAAACTCCATCTGCAACATCCACTGGCGACACTGCTAGACCAGGCTCCTCTAACTCAACAACCTCCTGCAGCCTTCAGTATGTTACCTACAGATTGATCAACATAGATGCACTAGTACAAAAGCAGGCAGATGCTAATAATAATACTTAAATGCATTTAATCTTTTTTTCTTTTATTAACTGGCAACTAATAGAAGTTAGGTAAAACTGTGATTTAAACTCAGATTTAGTCCCCCATGTCTCCCAGCGTATAGAACCTATACCAAAATATTACAACAACTCTTCCACACTTTTAGACATTCTTTCAAAGCCAAAAGCCAACTTCTCACCTGCCGGGGTTTGGTCTCTGGCCCACCTTTGCTCACCCAGCTTTGCATCTGCGGTGGAAAGCCAAACAGGAATGGCTCCAGGATCTCCATGTCCTGGATTTGGCTTTGGGGGCATTGCTCTGACTTTAGTTCCTGATGATCCAGAGTGCAAATCTGGCTGCTGACACTTTGAGGGAAATAATGTAGTAAGTGTTGATGCTGTACACCTGTGCTGGTAATATCATTCCCCGTGTGGTTCTGAACACTTTCTGAGAACTGACCTCTGCTCCTAATCTGAATGGTCCCTGTGTCCCCTCCTGCTTCCAGGCTGGGTAAGCCTTGTTTGCCCATGATCAATTTTCCTCCAAGTTAGCTTCCTAAAGAATTGGAGGACCCCTTCTTTCTTTGGTCAAATGTTATCTCAAAGCCAAGCCTTCTTTCATTGGAGTTGTTGGCCCTACCTCCTGTTAAAACAAGATTTTAATTTTAATATTTTAATTAATTTTAAAATTATTTAAAATTAATTTTAAAAGATTTTAATTTTAATAGCGCGAGCTATTTTGGGAGCCCGAAGAAGGACCCACATAACGCCATTGTTCCGTGAGCTGCACTGGGTACTGGTTTGCTTCCGGGTCC